TCCGGATAGAATGCAGCTCCACACGGTAGCTCGGCCCTTCGCGAGACCTCCTTCGGATGAACCGCATCGGCCCCCTCCGGGTAACTAGTTGGTCCGCCATTCTGACGTCCTCCTTCGTCTCGCTGTTGAATGATGTCCTCCAAGCCTTCTTGGACTCCGCCGCGCGATTCCTCGCGCTCTGCCATCACTTCGCTGTTACTGGCGACCGATATGCCAGCAACGTCGGATCGCCTTATCTACTTTCCTATTGAGCTGGGTCACGAATACAAAGTAAATCCCTATTTAAACAATTCAAACTCCCCAACAGACGACGTTCTGACTTGCGCTTGCTTGCATGGTTGACTGGCGAACTTGCGTTGTCTGGATTCAGCGCTTTGTTCCCAGCTAAACTTTGTAACGAACTACCGTATCAGTCCCTGTCCTCTGGCCCATTCTGGTCTGCGCCTTCCCGCGCCGCACTTGCCGTACTGCACTACAGGACGAGCACTTAATCAACATGCAGTGCGGCATTTAAGTGGTGAACTCGACTAACGGTAGTCGCAAGCCGCCGGCTAGCTAATATCAGTATTAGTTAGACCTGAATTGCTCCCTGTGCCCTGCATTACACTATGATGAAGGCGACGATGACGACGAGCAAGGCGAGGCGGGTTACATAGCATGCAATCGTATCGACTAACGCTCGGATAGCGCTTGCCTGGTGTAAAAAATGAATCAGGATGGACCAAATTTCTCTAGCTGCTGTGAATCAGCACGTATAAAAAAGCCTTAATCGATGACCTGGAAATGTATAGGTTTCATGAGTTGGCTTGCCCACCTAAAAGGTGGGCAAGAACTAACATATTGGATGAAATGGACGAGCATGCTCGGACTGAGACACAATTACTCTTTGCGCAATCCGGCAAGGGCGTCGTAAATCGACGCGCTGTGATCCTGGCCTTGGTGCGGTATTATTGCATATTTGTGAAAAAATGGTAAAACGCAATGCGCAGATGCCCGGAAGATGTGCAGCTT